CACGATGGAGGTATGAGTCTCCGTGCACGCCAGAGGGTTAAATATTTTTATTCAGTGGTTTTTCCGGTGTTGGTGTATTACTTTATTATTCTTTGTATGTAACTTTACGCAATTCAAAACATTGATGACAGTAGTGGATTTCTGAACTGTTTTTGATTAGATTGCAAATTTGAACGAAAGCAACTTCATGAATGTGTCAAAAGAAATGGCTACTTCAGCAAAAGCACACGAATTCACCAACCCGAAAGCTTTTTTCGACATGTTCAAGGATCTTTTCCACGCCGCAACAACGATACTAACGCCACTAACGCAGCAAAATGCTGATATGGCACTGCAGTACTGTGAGGTATGAGCTCTACGGACTAAAGATTTACTTGTGATGAACTGATAACCCCCTTGTGGGCTTAGGGCCTAATTAATGCAAGACGTTGTGATTTTTGTCGGCAAAGTAACCTCTTGTACGCTGTTTCCATTCCTCATATTAAACGTCTTTTTCCCGGCATTTTTTTCATTCGTTTGTTCCACCATGCGGTCATCCACCATTCCACTTTTCTGCTGCAACTCCTTTCGTTCTTTATTCCTTAGGCAGCCTTAATTTTTTTTCAATCCTTCCTGTTTTCCCTTTTCGTTGTTTCCTTCATTAGTTTGAATGTTCCCCATAAGGGTTAACACGTAACAGCCAAAATAATCAGGCTAAGAGCGGCCATTGCTTTATAAATTCCCCCTTTCTGAACTTCAAAATATAAAAAGGCAACTAAAGTTATGAGTATACATACCTACACTAGTAGGCAGCAAGCAATTTGTTTTTCTGCCTACAAAGCATGTAGAAAACGCCTCTAACTCTGGATAACGAAGCTGGAGAAAGCCGCATAGCTGCATTCTCGAAACCAATTCCTTGCAACTTTATTACATACAGCTACTCCGTCATCGCATAAATACTTCAATGCAAAAAGAAATGGTACTTTCTAATTCTGACTAGCATAAAATTGTCGCCAGATTTGATTATCGTAAGAATGATCCTTAAACCTTTTAGTCAAAGCTGTTTGTAGTGTGGAAATTGCTGAGGTCATACAGCGAATTCACATCGTATTTAAAGAGGGTCTGGTCTGGGTTTGGGGGGACTGGAATCTCAGAAAAAAAGAGGAATGGTCGGCGATTTCTCAGCTATCAGTTAGAATCTCAGGCCATGCCTCTGCTATCGGTAAATGTTACATATCTTTGATCTCAGCTATGAGTTGAATACGAGTCACATCTCAGCTGACAGTCAAATAGTATCTATACCTTTACCCTCCTTGAAAGGTCAAACTACTTATACGCGTGTTTCTAGTGAACTAACTTTTGTGTGCTATTTTTTTTTTTTCCTCGTAGCACTTCATCCAAACTGTACTTTACTCTGCTATTTTTAATCGGACACCACGATTTTGCGATCCTAACTTGGTAAGCTACTCAATTTGCACGGGAATGTATAAAGCATTTTGGGTTGTACGTCGTACACGTTGTACATTCCATCAAATTACCTTGGTTTTTCAGAGTCAGAAACCTACGTATTTTTACCACGAGTTTGTGACGTCATCAGTTTATCATGAAATCCAATTACAAATGTATTTACCTTTCCGTTTATAAATTATTTTTGCAAGCCACGCACGGTATGTCTAAAGGCTACTCACGACTAAAGTTTTCCCTTCCAAAGGCAGATGACCGAAACTTTCTGGTGGGTGAAGCGTTGGTATTCCTCCTTCAAGCTCCTAAAAACACTACAGCCTACAATAATGCTTCCAATCTAGGATTTCATCCTGTCGGATATCTGTAGTGAGTTAATGACGCACTTGCTATTTAGTAACAGCACTATGTGTAAAAGCAAGTACCAAGGTTTTCAAGAGCCGTTTTTTTTTTTTTTTTTTTTTT